CATTATTCTGCATCACACACTATTCTTTAGCCAAACTGGCCTATTTGTAGCTCTCCCTGCATAACATTCCATCCTCTGCATTTGCACCTCTGCCTTTTGGAATCCCTAGCTCTCTTCAAGGTTAAGTTCAAGCCATAGAGCTCCGGTCTTGGAGTCAGAAGGACCTGAATTCAAATCTGGCCTCAGACACTTGACACTTACTAGCTGTGTGACCTTCAGCAAGTCACTTAACCCCACTGCCTCACCAAAAGGCAAAAAAAAAAAAAAAAAGCTAAATCCTTTGAAGATTCTCCCAGGGGTTAGTGGCAACCACAAATCACTATTTTTTTTTTTTTTTACATATCTTGTACTTACTTGTGTGTGAATGTTATATCATTCTAACAGAATAATAAGCTCCTTGAGGGCAAGAGATGTCCCACTGATGTATCCTCAGTACCTCATACAAAGTAGGTACTTAATAGGGGTTTTTTTTGTTCTCATAATCTACACTGTGAGATTAATATTCCCAAGCACTATACTGCTTTCATTATGCCATTCTCCTTTTGAGGAACTTATATCATCTTGCCTGATTAAGCCCAAATTGATGGATTTTGAGCCTCTCCCTATCCTTTCCCTTCCCCAGTCCCACCCGAAGAGTTTGGTTCCTTCCAGTTGATACAAGCTTTATTTCTCACTACTACTGCAACACATACCTGAGACTCCAGAGAGGTCTCTCCTCAATGTTTTCAATAATAGCCAACATTTATATAAAATTTACATTTCACTTAACTCTCATAACTCCATGAAGCTGGCACTACAAGTAGTCATCCCCATTTCACAGATGAGGAAACTGTGGTAAGATGTCCATGGTCACACACCTAGGAATTACAAAGATTCTTACTTAGCACTCTCCTGATTCCAGGACTTTTTACTTTAGACAGCTAGATGGCACAGTAAATAGAACTCTAGACCCTGGAGTCAAGAAGACCTGAATTCAAATCCATCTTCAGATACTGTCACTTAACCTGTTTGCCTCAGTTTCCTCTACTGTAAAATAGGGATAATAGCACCTACATCATAGAATTATTATAAAGGTTCAAATGAGATGTTTATATAAAGTGCTAAGCACTGTTCCTGGCACACAGTAGGCACTTAATACCTGTTCCCTTCTTTTACCACACTATTTCTCTATAACACATTGCTCTTCTTTGTCTATCCCAGGGGTGGGGAACCTGCAGCCTCGAGACTACATGTGGCCCTCTAGGCCCTCAAGAGCCCTTTGACTGAATCCAAACTTAAGAGAATAAATTCCCTTGATAAAAAGATTTGTTGTGTAAAACTCTATTCCCCCCCTTTCCCTCAATTCAAATCCTATCCTTCAAACCTCAGTTCAAATTCCACTTTATCCATGTAACTTTCCCAGATTACTTCAACCCAAAAAGTCTCACCCTTCTCTGAATCCCCTACTACAATAGAGGTAAGCAATTCTTTTGTAATTGCTAGTTTTATCACTCAAGAGAAGCAGTTTTTAAGTTATTTAAGGCATGGTGCCTAGCAGAATTACTCAATAAGTATTTGTTGATTAGAAGGTGTTTGTTAGAAACGATTTGAACGATGCACTCATTGGGTTAATCAGTATAATGACTAGCTGATGGTTTCAGTTGTTTTGTGGGTTGAGTCAGTGATCCATTGCAGAAGTATTTAAAATCTCTAGTTTGTGCCCCACCCTCACCCCCAATCAATTTACTTTATTTCCTGGAAGCACAGGTAAAGTAAACAGGTTATCAACTTCCGATTCCAGTCTGTACCTTCTAATCCCCTCGGTCTGGAAGTAAAAGTCTTATTTTTAGAGACTGAAATGATTATACTTATTATTCAACAAACATTAAGTGCCCATTGTGTGTAGACTGTCAGATAAAGTCCCAGTCCTTAACTGAATTTAAAAGCCTAATAATATGAACGTTTCCCCTTTGGTCCTATTGATTGTTTTAATTCATACATCTTCCCCTTCTATCTCATCTGGGTCGGCAAGGTGGCAGCTTCTTCTAGTTAAAAAAAAGCTTTAAAAAGGTCTACAATAGGTGCCTCCACTTTCTCTCTTTTTACTCTTAACTCCACCTGGTTCTCCTACCCGTCTAATTGCTCCTCAGTCTCCTTTGCTGCATTCTCATCCAGATCATGCCCACTAAAACCATAGGTGTCTCCCAAGGTCCTGTCCTGTGTCCTCTTCTCTTCTCCCTCTATACTGCTTCATTTATCAGCTCCCATGAATTTAATTATAATCTCTTATGCCGATGATTCTCAAATCTACCTATCCTGCCCTAGCCTCTGTTGACCTCCAATCTCTAATCTCCAACTGCCTTTTAGACATTCAAACTGGATGTCTAGTAGATGTCCTAATTTCAGTATGTTAAAAACCAAACTCATTATCTTTTCCCCAGAATTTCTCCCCCCAACCACATTTCCTACCATCCTCCCAGTAGGTCAGGCTCATAATCTGTCATCCTAGATTTCTCACTATCTCTCACCCTCCTCATCCAATCTGTTGCCAAGGTCTGTCAACTTCACAACATCTCTCCAACATTCTCCTCTCTTCTAACACTGCTACCACTCTAGTATAGACCCTCCTCATCTCACATGTGGACTATTCCAATAGCCTATTGATGGGTCTGCCTGATTCAAGTTTCTCCCTACTCCAATCCATCTTCCAACCCCTAGAGTGATTTTCCTAAATTGCAGGTCCTATTATGTCACACACCCTGCCCCACCTCCAATAATGGGCACCCTACCACCTCCAGGATCAAATACAAAATTCTATGTTTGGCATTCAAAGCCCTTCATAACCTATCCCCTTCCTACCTTTCCACTATCATCCTCACTCTCTCCCAGTTTAATGGTTCTTTCCCTAATGGCTTACAAGCATGTCCATGTCTCCCCCCAGTCCTTATAACACACAGACACACAGACACATACTTACATCACACTCTCCTTTCCTTGACTTAAAACTCCCTGAGAAAGCCATCTACCCTTGTTGTCTCCAATTCTCTTTGTACTCTTTTAAACTCTCTGCAATTAGGCTTCCCACCTCAGTATTCAACTGAAACTTCTCTCCAAAGTTTCCAGGGCTCTCTTGCCAAAATTAATGGCCTCTTCTCAATCCTCACCTTTCTTGAACTTTCTGCAGCATGTCACTGTTGCTCATTCCTCCTGCATACTCTTTCCTCATTAAAAATGTTGCAGATACAACCCTTTCCTGATCCTCCCAATCTTTTCCCTCTAAAAACCTTCCCTCTTCCCAAGTTTCCTATTACTGTTAAGGTATCACCATCCTCCTAGTCATCCTGGTTCTCAACTGTTATTGAAGCTCTCAACTTACCCTAGATACCCTATCCATTACAATTTTTTATTTCTACCTTCTCAACTTTCATATATCTCCACTAAAAAAGCTGCCACCCCAGTACGGGCCCTCATCACCTCTTACCTGGACTATTGCCACAGTCTTCTCAATGGCCTCTGTCTCACATCTCTCTCTGATCCATTTTCCATTTGGTTGCCAAAATGATTTTTCTGAAGTGCTGGTTTGACCATGTTACCACTTTACTCAGAGAGCTCCAGTGGCTCCCTTTTACCTCCAGGATCATAAATAAGTCTTCTGTTTGGATATTTAAAGCTCTTCATAACTTGGTCCCTTTCAGCCTTACTATTCTCCCTATATTTAACTCCCCTCCATACACTTTTTGATCCAGCAACATTGGCCTACTTGCTGTTCCTTGAAGATGCCACTCTATATCCCATCTCCATTTGTATTGGCTGTGTCTCATGTCTGGAACACCCTCCCTTCTCACCTCATTCTCTTAGCTTTTCTGGCTTTCTTCAAGACTAAATAGGATTTGCCACTTTCTGCAGAAGGCCTTTGTTACCCCGCCTCCCTGTTAGTTGCCAATGCATTACCCATTTAGGTGATATTCCATCTATTCTGCATATATTTTATATGTAACTAGTTATTTACATGTTGTCTACCTCATTAGAAAGCTTCTTGAGGGCAGGGACAGTTTTTGCCTTTCTTTGTATCAGTTATTAACACAGTACCTATAACATAGTAAGGACTTAAATGCTTGTTGATTGACTAACTAAACCTAAGTATGCTGCCTTCTCCAATTCTCTGTAAGAAAAAAATAGAAATCTTGACCTGAGTGGTAGAATAACATTTTCTAAAATAAATAGACTAGGACTGCAAGATAGAGTGACCGGAGGCATTTCAACAATGTTCCAGGAATAGTAGGGACAAGCTGTTTTGAGCCCATGGTTCTTGAACAAGTGTTTTCTGTCCTGGCGTTGGTAACTTGGAATTTTAAAAAAAGATAGAGAGGATCTCCCATAATTCCTCCAAGCATCATCTTACTAAGAATTTAGGATAAATAGTATAAATTAAGCAAGTAAACAAATCAGAAATATAAAAAAAGAATAGAGCACTTTTAAGGTTTGCAAAGTGCATTAAATATTTTAACTCATTTGATAAATTCCATACAGTATTTTAAAAACCTCTATGTCAGCTATTATTATTAATAGAGATCACAAACTACTGTAATGATCTATATATATACCATCCAATCATATTACTTACTACAAATAGCACATTTTTTTTAAACTTCCTGCCTGGTAGTTTTCTTTTTTCTATAGAAAATGCTCTGGCTAGCTTACAATGTTATCTTCCCTTTTAGAATAGCTTGTTTTAAAACTTACATTTGATAAATTAAGCTACAAACAAAAATACAACAAAGATTAAGTCCCTGTTGTTATGTCCTGGGGGAAAAGTTTAAATAAGCCTTATTCCATGCCCTCCAAATTATGCCATATTCTAGAAAAGCTTATACATTTCTAAGTATACAGAATTTTAAGGACACAAGTAGCAAGTAGTAAAATGTGTAAAAATAGATTAAAACATATATATATATAGTATTCCAGCTAACACAAGTAATTTTTTAATAGTACGTTAGGAAAATTACCTAAAATGTCAACCCATAGTTTGTCCACACTGTTTGTACCATATAGTGGACTTTAAGTTATGCTATTCCCCTTACTTTGTAAACCATTGATAGATTGTGTTTTGTTTTGTTTTGTTTTTTGTGGTTTGTTGGTTTTTTTAACCTTTGTTCTTCCATTGGCTACCCAATACCTTGCAAATTGTAGGTGCTCAATAAATGAATTTAATTGGGATGCCTTCTCTTCACTCTCTCCACTATCATGTGTTGCCCATTCAGCTCATGGCCTAATACTCCGTGTTTCCAGTTATACTATCCCATTTGGCTCTCACTATGAAATCCTAAGAGATTATCATCCCATATTAATCCTTAACTATGTTTTCTTAAATTGTTATTTAACTTTTATTTATCTATGCTTTGTCTTCTTGAAAAGGGAGGTAAGTTCCTTTAGCTGGTAACATTTCTTGAATTTCTTCATCCACAACATCCAGCATAATACTCGATGAAATGCTTAAAACTGACGCCATGGTTACAGTCTTTCAAAGTTAATTTCCATTACTTCCCATCCTATTTAGTCTACGAGTCCCGGCCCCCATAAAATTGGCTTAAGAAAGATGGTGTTTTAAGTAAAATGCTTTGCTTAAGGAGTTAACACGAGAAATAAAAGACGCTTCATCCCCACCTAACAAGATGGTAATTAATGCTCCAATTGTCAGAACAGGTTTTTCCTGTTCAAATATCAGGATCGCTGCTGTTGATTTGAAACACCTCCTCGCCGGTACAGAGATCCAGAGATCCAGAGATCCCACGCAGCGGCTCCAGTTCGAACTCCGGAAGAAAACCCGCGGCCCTGGCAGATTTCAGGTGCTACAGGCGGCCGGCCGGCCGGCCGGCCACTCACTCCAGTCATTTGCACCCATGGCAGAGGGCGGCACCTTACTTACCCAGGGGGTAACTGCCTCCAGAGAGGAATCCTTATCTGCCCCCTGTACCATCGGGGTAAAAGCCAAATACTAACAGAGGTCACAGGTATCGTTTACGCAATACCAGGAAGAGGGCAGTGAGCCAACTGACGCCAGTTAACTCCGGCGCAGTAGGTCTTCTGGAGCAATGTGCGCGGTCCTTAAGGCGCCTGCGCATTGGTGTCTAACCCGGTTCGGAACGAAGGGCCGAGGAACTACGTCATGGGCGTCGCTCTACGTCTGCCCTTTCGGCGCCTGCGCGTTCTGTTGCCGGCAAGTGGAAGGGGGGTGGTGTCGACCCTTTTCCCATAGTGTACCTTAGCGCCGCCCGGACGTGTTCTGGTCGCCGGCACCATGAAGATTTGGACGTCAGAGCACGTTTTCGAGTAAGTTTGGGACTGTAGTATTGAGTCAGAGAAGCGGAAAGTGGGGGACGCGGAGGGGGACCCGAGTGGGGATGAGGGAGCGCTCAGAAGCGAACCGGCCTCCTCGGGCGCGCGCCCGAGAGGGAAGGGGAGCCCGAGCCGGGCCCACGCGCAGCCGAGGGGAGGCGAGCCCCGAATCCGTCAAGGTCATTGCCGGGGGTGGGCCTCCGGCTTAGCCCCCTTCTCGAGGAAAGGCCCCCTCAGCCCTGTCTCCTCGGGAGAGACCCCCTGCCCCAGGCGCCCTGGCTCGGGCTTTCCTCCCAGAGAGGGTCGGGAGTGGGGACAGCCCGGTTCCCTCGCCTGGGACATTGTGTTCTCTAAAGTTTATGCTTCCTCCTGGGCCGCCCCGACTTCTGCCTCTGTTAATGCCTGTCTCCAAAGTGGCCTTTGAGGTTTCGGGAGGGACGGCTGGCCTGGGCGCGGAGCATGTGCCGGCTGGTGTCAGAGGCGGGGAGGCGGGAAAGGAGTTGGTGGCAGCAGCTCGAGAGGTCGCCCGACTTGTTCGCGAGTTCCACACCCAGGAAAGGAGCCTTGTTGCTGAAAACAACACTTTGGTTTGGTGTGACATAAGGAGGTATGACGAGGAGGAAAAAAATTTCGCCTTCCTATTGACTTAACTCCACCTAATAAACTGATGATCTACCTGCAAAAGCAAGAGCTTTCATTGTTGCTTATTTTGGGAGAGGCAGTGTAGTCTTACTCCCTCTCCCCACTCCTCATCTCCCACCACCCCCAAAGCTAGAGGCTGTAACTTATTTTCTTTTTCTTTTTCCACCACCTTCATCAGAAGTCTAGCAGAAAATCCCTTCTTTTTTTCTGCAGAAGTGGGAGAATATGTTCAAATCCAGCCTCAGACACTTGATACCTACTAGCTGTGTGACTCTGGGCAAGTCACTTAACCGTGATTGCTTCACCAAAAAGAAAAAAAGTGGAAGAATATGCATCTAACTCTTAGACTTGATTGATGTGTTGTTTGGTTTTGCTGAGCAGCATTTTTTTCCCTCTTTTTTAAGTTCCTTATCACAAGAGATGGTTTCCTTGGTTTGAGAGAGAGAAGGGATATTTTTGGAAATGAAGGTAATGTAAAAATAAAAGATCTGATTAAAAATGTAAATGTGATTGAAATATTTTATATGCATCAACTGTTAAAAAAAAGATGTTCTATTTTGGCCTGTTTGCATTTCTGAAGGTGAGAGTTAGCAAGAGGCCCTTTTTTGGAACTTTGTGTTTTCTGATGTTATTTGGTTAGGTAGGCAGAAATGTCCTTACAGTTAAGGGCATAGACCTTGTGATGGAGAAAATAAGGTTCAGATCAAGTAGGTCTTTGGTAAATATGCAATAACCACTACCAAAACTGCAAAAGGATGTATTTTTTTTCTTAGAACTCTTGAGTCTCCAAGTACTTCTCTTTTCTCTCTCTCTCCCTCCCTCTTTGCTTTTTGGTGAGGCAGTTGGGGTTAAGTGACTTGCCCAAGGTCACACAGCTAGTAAGTGTTTTGTGTCTGAGACTGGATTTGAACTCAGGTTCTCCTGACTCCAAGGCCAGAGCTCTATCCACTTCACCACCTAGGTGCCCCTCTATTCTCTAAACATGACATATATTGTAAGTGAGAATTTCAGAGAAGAAAACTTTTTCGTTTTGGTGACCCTTACTTGGATGAAAAGTAAATCTTGAGACTGTAAATGAACCAGTCTTGGCAGGTTTGTGGAGAATTTTAAGTATGGGTTATGTAGTAGGTAGTCTTCAGAGGATCCATGATTTCACTGCTGTGGGCACCAGTTCCACTGGTAAAATCACAACTACTCCTCACCTCATTATCTTGTTCTTTAGCTAATCTTAGATCAGTTTAAATGAACAGATTTTTTTAAAAAAGCTTCAGAAGCTTTGAAAGGATCCTAGAATAGCTGTGTGTTTCTCTTTGGTGTTTTTTTTTTCTTCCAGTAATAAAAATAGTTTTACAAACCTTATTTCAGTTTACTGTCACAGTAGGCCTGGGAAGTAGGTACTATTACCATCCCCATTTTACAGATGGGGAAACTGGGGCAGACAGGTTAAGTAACTTACCTAGAGTCACAGAGTTAATTAGTATCTGAGGCTGGATTTGAACTCTTCCTGACTCCAGGCAGGTCCATCATTCTATCACTGTGTCACTTAGTTGTTTTATCAGTATCCTTAGTGTGCTGCTCAGATTATCCATCTGTTGTCTCTCATTCTTGCTGTATGATCTAACACCTTTTCTGATCATACATATCCTCAGTGATGTCTTTTATACTACTACTACTACTTCTTGCTACAGACTTACTGGAATTAGTAACATGCTTTAGCATAGTTATACCTCCCTTATCTTTTTCCATTGCTCATTGACTTATAATTTTTATTCCTCTCAGATCATGGTGTAATAAATTTTGGGAATGTGGATAAGTGGTAATTTTTTTTTCCCAAAGAAAAAATCCAAAATATGGTCAAATTTTTGGAACAGCATGTCCAGAGAACGCAGGACCTTTTTCATATAAGTTCCTTGAGGGCAGAGTCCTTGTGCCCCAACGAGTATTGAGGAAAGAGAAAAGTATCCATGTTTATAAAAAATATTCATAGCAATGATTTTTTGTTGTAGCAAAAAACTGGTTGGTTAGTTGTTGACCTTCATTCTCAAAAGAGGACCAAAATGATCTCACTATGTTAGAGCCAAGTTCCAGTGTGTCGAACTGTGGCTGATAAGACCAATACAAGCTCAAAATGCTCTACTACAGGTTGGGCACAAGTAGTCCATGTGAACATTTTGGGTAGATTCTCTAAATTTGTGCATCTCAAGTTTCTTTTGAGCTACTTCAATTCTGCTTTGCTCGTAGAGCACGCCACCTTCTTTGATAATGGCACACCATGCTGGGCAGGCCTGTGCCAGTGTCTCCATGTCACTAAATCAATTTCAGAGTTCTTCAGAGAGACCTTGAGAGTGTCCTTGTATCACTTCTACTGACCACCATGTAAACACTTGCCCTGTGTGAGTTCTCTGTGAAATAGTCTTTTAGGCAAGAGTACATTCCGCATTCAAATGGTATGGCCAGCCCATCGGAGTTGTGTTCTCTGCAATAGGGTTTGAATGGTTGGCGGTTTACTTAGAGAAAGGACCTCAGTTTCTAGTACCTTATCCTGCCAGGTGATCTTCAGAATCTTCCTAAGAAAACTATAATTCTGTGTGGCAAAAGAGGCATAGCACACATGACAATGTGACCTTGACAGCAAAGTTGATGATGAGGACAGCAGTTTTTTTTGGAAGTTATACAATGTAAGTGAAGATCTAGTCCAATACAGTCTAATCCAATAAAGATTTATTAGTACCTGCTATGTGCCAGGCACTGTGCTAAGTGCTGGGGATACAGTTAATAAAAAGAAAGCTAGAACCTGCCCGCAAAGAGCTTTCAATGTAAAGGGGGAGGCAACACAAAAGGAGCGAGGGAAGTGGTGAGGCAGAAACCAAGGCCGATGGTAGAAGGAAAAAACAGGTTTAAGGTCCAGCCCTGAGCAAACCAACATCAAAAGGAAAGAAGTTAGAAAGTGAATGATGGGGGAATATGAGGAAAAAAGACTGAAATTACTGTAGATCTCAGGAGAAAGAAAATCCAGTTATTGACCTTAAGTACAAGAAGATACACCAACAGGGAAGATATAAATAACAGAAGGGAATATATCTTTTAGATTATCTAAACAAGTCTATAAACATCTTAATATTTCAGCACAAAGGAAAAGGATTCAGATCTGATATGAGGCAGAGGATCCTGTGGATTCCCAAGAGAAGAACATGTTCCCAAATGGTATAAAAGAGAAATAAGAATTATGAAAACAAAATTTATGGCCTGCAGAGTGGAAATAATCTGAAAACTAGAAAAATTTAAATTGATGATGGCTAACCTCACCAAAAATAAAAACAAAAGAGAAGACAACTGGTTGCAGAAGCAAAGTCACAGACGTGAAGGACAATCTGGTGGAAGTATTAACATTAAAAGAAAACAATCTTCATACAAACCAAACGTTTCATCTTGAAGACAGGATGAATAGAGACAGATTCAGAAGTACTAGTTTCCCTAAAGAAATAATGAACATTATGATATAAGCAGAAATACAAGAAAACTGCCCAGGACTTCAATTGAAAGATTCCGCAGATCACGTACAAGAGAAAGAAAAATAAAATTATTCTGCAAACCCCAAGTCACCTGTGGTTAAATTGAATGATTCTGATGACAACTAATTTTGCAAGTGACCAGGAGGAAAACTTTGAAATATAAATTGAAGGAAATTCAAGTAACGCAAGCCTGTTCTGCACCCACCAGAAACCAAAAGGGGATTGGAATAATTTGTTTCAAAGAACAAAGGAGTTCAAAGTGCAACCCAAGATGACCACAAACTGATGAGCATATTCATCAGTGAAAAACGATGGTGTTCAATAAAAGTAAAGTTTTTAAAACATCCTACAAAGGAAATCAGATGTGAACAAACTATTTACTTTGCAAGTACCCTGGACAACAGAAATACAAGAGAAAAAAGAAGTGGAAGGAGGCATTGATTGTAGATGTCCTTTTCAAGAAGTTTAGCTATGAGAGGATATATAGGAGATAATAAGTAGCAGGAATGTATGGATCATTAAATGAGGGTTTTTTGAGGATGGAGGAGATAGGAGCATATCTGTAGACAGTAGGAAAGCAATCAATAGACATGGGAATCGGGGTGATGGAAAGGCAGTCAGCTGAAGAGGATGTGAAGTCAATCAACTAGCATTTAAGTATCTGCTGTGTGTCAGACACTACTAAGTGCTGGGGATACAAGGAAAGGCAAAAAAAATAGTCCCTGCCTTCAAGAAGCTCACAATCTAATGAAGGAAACAACATGCAAACAACTGTATCTATTTATATCTATCCATTTATAAAATAAATTGGGGCTAGTGTTAAGAAGAGTGCACTAAGATTAAAAAGGCCTGGGACAGACTTGCAGAAAGGGAGAAAGTCTCAGAAAGACCTGAGACTTGAAGAAAGCCAGGGAAGCGAGGATGCAGAGATAGAGTTCCAGGCATGTGGTTAAATTGAATGATTGAATGGGGAATAACCAGTGAAAACCTTCAGACTGTTGATGGAGTGACTATTAAAGAACCTGCTAGGAGGAGGAAGGTTATCATTGGAGTATGTGGAGGAGAGTAAGGTTTAAGAAGGCTGGAAAAATAAAGGGACTAGGTTATGAAGAACTAAGCCAAACAGAATTTTATTTGATCCTGAAAGTTCTAGGGAGCCACTGGAGTCTGTTGACTAGTAGAATGTTTTGCCCTGGCAAAGAGAAGGGCCACCTCTTCATGTGAAATGGGTAATGGAAGAAATAGTTGCAGAAGCCATTCTTAGTAAGGTGACATGAGAGAAGAGGAAGTTCTCTACAAATGATGTCAATTTTTTCTGTGAAATGTGAGGCAAGGTCATCACTCCAGGAGCTGAGGGAAGGGGCACTGAGAGGAGTGTGGAGGGGAGAAAAGGAGGTAAAGTTATTGGAGGGATGAAAATATTTGGAAAAGAGGCTGTGATGAATGGGATAGTAAATGGATAAGGATGATGGAAAAGGATTGCTGGGCTGCAGGGAGGGTCTGGTTGAGACTATGTAATGTATTTGTGGTGGAGCCCATTGAGCATGGTTTCATCAGAGTTAATACTGAAACATTTATGAGTCTGAGCTTAACAGGTAGCAAATTTTTTTTTAAATCTTGGTTGTGTTCTGAAAATTAAATCCAAAGCTCAGCATATTTATTTTTATGTCATTTTAGCTTCATGAGATTGAATGGAAAAGGCAAATAAACAGTCTAACAACATAATTTTGTCTGCTTGTTTCTGTGATTTATAACTTACAAAATATACATTTTGGTATGTTTTAGATAGGTCAAGATAGTAAAAATTAACTTTTATATTTTTAAACATTTTTCATAGAAACATTTGTCCATTGTTGTAGTAAAGTTCCAGAAATAAAAATGCTTGATTTTCTTGAACTCCTGCAGGGCCTGGGGTTGAATAGTTTCTGTTCTAGTAATTTAACTAGGCTATATGATCCATGCTTACTTTTAGAGGTTCCAAAGGCAATATGATATAATAGAATAAGGCAATAATATAATATAAATGTATTCTTAAATCTAAGAGATTTTTAGTATTCAATTATTTTTTGGTCCAAATTTGTAATTTCATTGACTCGTAAAATTATTTGAATGCTTCGTGTATGTGTGAGGTTCTTTTTTTGGGGGGGGGGGAATGAATGTGTGTGGAATTGAACAAATTCACTAATAGGATGGAAGATGAAGCTGAAAAACATACTAGAGCCACCTAGTCCACGCCCCTCATTTGCACAGAGGAGTAAATAAAGCCCAGAGAGGTTTTGACTTGCCCATAGTTCCACAGATAGTAACTAGCAGAGCTAATACTCAGATCCCAGTTCTTTGACTTCAAATTCACTGTACTGTACTGCCTCTATAATTAAATTGTGTAATAGGTAAATTGGACAAATGCGATCATTGATACTGTTACACTTTAAAGAAAAAATTGAAGTTGGTATTGCAATATGAGACTCAGAAAATATCCCCTTTCCCCCAATAAATTCATGCATCTTGAATTCTAAAGAATGATGTTTTTAAATTTCAGATATTCCAGAATATTCATGCACACCTCAAAAAATATTTTGATTTTTATTTTATTTTGGCAGCCACCCATGGGAAACAGTTACAACAGCTGCTATGCAGAAATACCCAAATCCTATGAATCCAAGTGTGGTTGGAGTTGATGTCTTAGACAGACATATAGATCCCACTGGGAAATTGCATAGCCATAGACTTCTCAGCACAGAGTGGGGAATGCCTTCTATTGTAAAATCAGTAAGTACATCTCTGCTCTGTGCCACCCCTGACTCCTGACTCTGTCCCATCCCCTCTCCTTTTTTCCCTCCTCATCACTCAGAAAATCAAATGGTAGATCTGAAGATGCAAAATCAGAGTGAAAGGAGTTTGGTTTTTGCACAGAACTGGTATTCCTATATTGATGATGGATCATCTCCTTTCTCCATATCTGTTTGATAAACTAGAATTAGAACTTCTCCCTTACATCCAAGAGAATGTACTGGTGCCACCTGACAAATTCTAAAAAGCTTGGACAATTAATTCTTTTTCCCTCTCTAAATATAGCTCTGGAAAAACAGGCTTGGAAAAAGCCCCTTGTGATTCAAATGGAGCTACCTGACCATGCCTTTAAACCCAGGTCACTCTGGCTAACCAGGTCCCATCCCAGGCCTCTCTTGTTCATTGTCTGAGTTTTGATGGCCCTGAGTGTAAATAGCACTCTGGCAGAAACTCCCAAGGGTCTTCCCCTCCCAGATTGATTCTTTTGTGATGGCAAACTAGGCCATCTTTTGTCTCAATTCTTACCTAGCCCTTAATCACTGAATGAGCTTTGCCTCGGACAAATATGCCTGGGAAAGACCTTAGCTTTTTTAAAAGGATAAAGTCTCCCACTGCATCCTGGACCATCACCAGTCTTCTTGACTTAATGTCTTGTCACTGGACTGATGACTGGAGGGGAGAGTGAGGCTGATGACCTTACACAGCTCTGCCTCATTTGAATCCAATTCACTCTCAAGTCAAGACATCACCCTCCTGATGTCATTGATCCTCTTTGAGAGCAAGAAGAACAATCCTCCTTACGTTTTGATTTCTATCATTCACCTGATTTTTAATTATCTCTGGGAAAACTTCCCTAATCTAGAAATGTTATCCATAGTGCTGATTCCTCTTAACCTCGCAGAAGCATTTCCCTTCCAACCTTTGTTTGTTTCATCTTGTTTTTAAGATCAAAGAGATGTTGATGTTTTTGTTTTAAAATGAGCCACATATTCATTTTCAAAATAATAATCAGAAGATGCTCTCAGAGTGTGGCATAGCATCAGACTCTGGGTTCCAATCCTAGCTCTGACACCAGCGAGTCATTGCTTCTCTTGAGCCTTAGTTTTCTTCTCTCTAAGATGGGGATAATTACACTTGCACTACCTACCTCAGAAAACTGTTGTGAGAAAAGTACTTTGTAAACCTTTAAGTGCTTTGTGAATAAGAACTTTTATTATTATTATGTAATAATTGCTGGTTTGAAATAGTCACTAATTCTTAATATTTCTCTTAGCTTATTGGTGCAGCAAGAACCAAAACATATGTGCAGGAACATTCTGTAGTTGATCCCATAGAGAAAACAATGGAGCTTAAATCCACTAATGTAAGTGATTTTTTTCTTATTCTCTTTTATTTTCGATATTGAAATGGTATTTATTTCTGTTTAACTTTTCAATATGGGGGTAAATAGTCTTTATGGGACAGGTAAACAACACAGTGGATAGAGCACCAGACCTGGAGTTGGGAAGACTTCAGTTCAAATCCAGCTTCAGAGACTCTGTAGCTGTGATGCCTTGGGCAAGTCACTTAACCCCTGTCTGCCTCAGTTTCCTCAACCGTAAAATGGGGATATTAATTGCACCTCCCTTCCAGAGTTGTTGTGAGGCTCAAATGAGATAATAATTACAAAGCACTTAGCAGAGTATCTGGCACACAATTAGTACTCCATAAATGATAGCTGTTGTAGTGGTCTAAAAAGTGAATGCATTTCTGGCATTGTTTCCGCATGTTTTATCCTCTGTCCCTCAGTAGTACTACTTCAATAATCTTGAGTGTTTCTGAGTAGCAGAGGATTTAAGAAAGATATGCTTATTTTGTATTTTCTAAGTTGGCCTCAATGAAAGACAGCAAGAAATTTAAGACTTGTAGAAGATAAACTAACATGGTACTTGGAAGATGACATTTGAATTTGTTTCAGTTTTAATAACTTATCAATTGATAATTTGGGGGTTTTGTCTTATAGATTTCATTTACAAATATGGTTTCAGTAGATGAGAGACTTATATATAAACCACATCCTCAACAACCAGGAAAGTAAGTAAAACTTTTTTAGGAAATCTAGTGCTTTGCTGGATTTTTAAATTATTTTAGATATTTCTAGTAGGGAGGGAAATGAGCATACTTAAACTGTTTAAATGTATCTTCCTTCAGGACCATTTTGACACAAGAAGCCATAATCACTGTGAAAGGAGTGAGCCTTAGCAGTTATCTAGAGGGACTGATGGAAAGTACAATATCATCTAATGCTAATAAAGTAAGTTATACTGTATTTCCATTTACTGACTTTTACATTCTTTGAGGTTTTCCTACTTTTTCTAAAATACCTCTGTGCTCTTATTAATTTACTTTTTAAATTATTCCTTCAACAATATAATAAGCAAAAGGTTGGGGAAAGGGGAACATAATGTATTTTGTAACTGTACACTTTTTTTTTTAACTAATCTGTGTTAAATATAAAAATATATTTATTTACTAAGTGCAAACCATCGTGCCAATTTGGTGCTGGGGCCACAGATGTAAAAAATATGTTCTTTGTTCCCTCACACATTGCCATCCCACCTTGAGCATGTTATTAATAATAAAAGGTACAACCATGATTTCATTATGCATTTTTTGTGAATGTTTTAGGCATAGCAAATGGAAATTGTTTGATACTTAAATTATATCCAACCTAATTGTTTGTTATTAGAAGTAATAATAGCTAATGGTTATATAGTACTTTACACATATTATATTATTATACCTTTTGATTATCACAGCACACCTGTGAGATAGATACTCTATAATTATCTTCATGTTACAGATGAGGAACCTGAGGCTGGTAGGTTAAATGACTTGCCATGGGGTCATACCACTAGTCTGAAATGGGATTGAAACTCAGGTCTTTCTGACACCAAATCCAACATGCTCTCCACCTCTCAAAAAACTTATATTCACTGAATCACTTTTAAGAGTAGTTTAATCATCAACTAACATTTCTTAATCACTTACTATGTGCCAGGCATTGTGCTGAGTACGGGGGATTCAAAGAAAGGAAGTTAAACTGAGAGGGTAGGTAGGCACTGACAGCTGAGAGGACATCTGCAGAAGTGGGGATTTGAGCTTACTCTTAAAACCAGGGAAACCAGGAGGTGCATATAAGGGGGCAGAATCTTCTGGATATGAGGTACAGCTTTGTGCAAAGTGAGCTGAAACTTCATGTTTGAGGAACTGCAGTTAGGCCTGTGTAGCTGGATCTCAGAGGGTATGGAAGGGAGTAAAGTGTAAGACGATCAAGTAGGAGTCAAGTAATGAAGGGCTTTAAATGCCTAACAGAAAACTTTTTTTTGATCCTGGAGGTAATAAGGAGCCCTTAGGCTCGTGGAGCAGAGCGGTGATATCGTCAGACCTACATTTTAGAAAAATTATTTTTGGCAACTGCTGAGTGACAAATCGATTGGTGTGGGGAGAGATTTAAGACAGACCATTAGAAGGCATATAGCAATTGTCCTGATAAGAGGTAATGATGGTAACCTTTGTTATTACTCAGTGATGACGAATGTATGTTATGAATTTTTTTTAAGGGTCGTGAAGCAATGGAATGGGTCATTAACAAATTAAATGCTGAGATTGAAGAGTTAACTGCTTCAGCAAGAGGAAGCATGAGGACACCTATGGCCGCAGCAGCATTTGTAGAGAAATGATAATGGCTATTTATATGAAACATTAATAGGTCCACCAGGTTCTCTGCAGGCTGGTAACATATTTATTCATATTTGGTATTTAAGAGGCATATCTGTATATTAGATAGTTATTCAGTTAGCTTGGAGAAAGGCTGCAACTTTTGATGGAAAAAGGAGAAGGTGCAGGGCTTCCCAACATATGGGATCAACTGGAATTAACATTACCCGAAAATACCATGCAATATCAAGTTTCCAGTATTTGAAGATTTAAGGATATTTTAAATGGATACCTCGACCAGAAACTGGCATGTTGAATTTTATAGCATTTAATTCATGAGACTCTACCTGGTTTTGGACCAACTCCAAAATGAAGCAGAGCTACCTTTTCTAGCATTATTGCTCAAGCGGTTTTCATGTTGTAATAACTTTCTTTGGAAAGAAGGAAAGTATATTACTTGAAATCCAAATACAAACCTTTTATTTGTACAAAAGTAATTGGCTTTGAAAAACTATGGCATTCTGAATTGGTACTTAAGTGATATTTTTGTAGTGAATACTATCATTAAAATGACATGTAACTCCCAGTATAAACCTGATTGCATTATATTACAGAGTACTGTATTGATTTGTCAAAATTTTGTGATATAATACAAACACGATCTATCTTGATTTTGGATTTGCAGAAGTATATATGATTTAGAATATTGAATTGTGAGCATATGATGTTCACTTTAAAATTTGAAGAGGAACCAAAATAAAAAATAAAGTTATTACCTGAATTTAAGAGCATCATAAAATTTAAACTAACAACTATTTGCATCTTTTAAGCATTTCACATAATGCTTAAATAACTTATGCAAAAATTGCCATGACTGAATCATGCATCAATAATTACTGTAGCATGATAAGTCAAATTATTTCACTGTAAAATAGTTAATTGCATCTTTTTGTTGTAGTATAGTAATTGACCACAAACAAGTCTTTTTTTACAATACATATCTGTGGATCATTTGATTTAATTTCTAGTTTGATTTCAAATATAAATTCTAGGTACATAGCTCACTTTGTAATCCAATGGTGCCACTGCCAAAAGAAGGAACTTAACCACAGCTAACCACTAAAGGAAATTGCACTGAAGCTTTTATTTGTGGAAAGTCCATACTTTTGGTAGCAGAGGGCCAACTGGAATACCAAAAAGCTATTCCAGAAAATGTTATATTTTGTTGAATATTTCAAAGCAGATAATTGTTAACTGCTAAACAGTATTTTCTGATTCTTGTAATTATTTCTATGATACTAAAGTTGCATATGGAATATTTTAAAAGGCAGTTAGATCTTGCCTTTAACTGTGCTTAACATAAGTTGGAACTTCTGTAAAGGTTTCCTATAGAAAAAACTAGTGTATATGTACATAAGCCACAGAAACATAAGTTTACCAAACTATTTAAAAATGAGTATTTTTTCTATTTAAAGTATTGTTTAGCTTAAGACTTTATTGATACATTTGTAAAAACAACTCTCAGAATCCATTAAGGTTTGTGATTTTTTTTTTGTAACAGATTGTTTTTACAACCGAAATGATATTTCAGCTAAACAAAATATACTAAATGTTAATACTTGATAAAAGTTGGCTGTGTCTGATTTCTGTAAGTTGTACTTGTTCAGAAAAAGGTGTTAATGCTTTCAGGATAAAATATTTCTAAACAAGGTTTTCTGTGTTTTTTTTTTCTGATCATTTATCAAATTATCTTTTATCCTCTGTAGTTCAGTAGTTGCCAAAAATGTGTTCTTCCTCTGGGGAACAGAAGGAGAATTAATTAGTTCAATTTAGAATGTCAGATTTAACATTGAAGAATAAGATTTGCTGTATCCCAAAAAAAACCCTTTCATTATGATTTCCAATTTTCTATTGACTATCAGATTAATGTTTCTGTTAAAATTTCCCAAAAACAATGTCTTTGAATTATGCAAATAAAGATCAAAAACAAAAATTCATAAAAATCACCACCTGGTGGCTCTATCCTCTTATAATGTGTTACTGAGTATTTGGGGAGGGAGGGAGGAGATAAGAAAGATTCATACCAACTGTTCTTGGGGAGTAAGGGAAGTTTTCCAGATTTGAAAATGAATTTAACTATAAAATGTTCTTAGTATTTGCTACTTGAGCTTTATATTTTATTTCAGGTTATACTACTTAGGACAATTTGGTCTATTTTTGGCTCCTCACAGAAGGTTTTGAATTCCCCAATAAGATTGTCCTTTGATGTAGTGTACTTGAAGTGGATTTTTTTCCCCCTTATGTTCTAGCACCTTCTATATTGGTTATTTTATTTCTTTATTTTACTACAAGGAATGGAGAATACAACCAGTTTACTGAGAAATCAGGGGTATTAATCGTGGATTAACCATGCTTGTGTAGCAACAAGTCAACTGCTTGAATTAGTTTTGCAGTAACTAATCCTATAAAGTTTATGTTTTTCCCACCTGAATTTCTTTTTGATTTTTAGATTGAGTTCCTTATTTCACCCAGTCTTGAAGTGCAGCTGGCATCCTGTAGGCCTGCTCTCACAACTGATCACAGCATGAGAGCTGGTCTGCTTCATTTTTGACTTGGTGGCCCCACCCTCTTTGGGCCCCTAGGGGCACACTATATTATTGCCAGGTTTAGTGCAGACACTGGACTTAGTTCTTAGCTTACTGCAACTTGGAACTCCAAAGCTCAAGTAATCCATCAGCCTCAGCCCCTCCAGTAGCAGGGATAATAGGTAAGTGCCACCATCCCTGGCTGAGTACCTTATAGGAAAATAATAAATATATGTCAGCCCTAAAGCTGACAGGGCAGATGTCTCATCAGAAGTCTTACTAATGTACAAGTGAGATTTTATTGACTAGTCAGATTTTTTTTTTTCTGTGCGTATTTGTCTCTTCTTGGCAGCCCCATCAGTGTACTTAAAGGATCTGCAGTTTTTGCCACTGTGGACATTTCCTTCACTAATACAGACTACAACCTGTTGATGTCCAAAACTGAATTCATTTCCCATCCACCTTCTTCAGAACTTAACCATATTTCTGACAAGTGCACCACCAGGCTCCTGGGTTTGCAATCTTAGTGTTGTCCTCTGCATGCTTTCTTCAGCCTATGTGATCAGTTACCAAGTCTTGTCACTTCTAACTTGTCAATCTCTCTCTCATTTGTCTCCAATCCATCTGCCACACCACTACCAAAATGATTTTCCTTAAGTGTCCCCTTACTCTAAAAATTCCAATGGCTCCCTAATGCTTTTAGAAGCAAATATAAGTTCCCTTATTTGACTTCAGAGCCCTGTTCCCATCCTTTATTATAAATTACTCCTTCACATGAAGCTCCATTGAAATTGGCCTTGTCCCTTGTGACATTTTATCCTCCCTTTTTTCTCTGCATAAGCAATATCCCATATCAGTTGCACTTCTCACCTCTCATAATCCCAGCACTACTTCTTACAAAAGGGTCTTTCCCGATTTCCCCTGCAGTTACCTGCCTTGTACTTTGTATACATTTATAGATAAATATATACCATATACATATTGTATTTATACGTGTGTGTGCAGTATAGGGAACTCCCACTGTCAATTCCAGCTGGCACCTTCTCTGTAATTTAAAGCCTTGCACATAGACACACCCTGTTTGCCATAGTTTCCCCATCTGCAAAATGAGCTGGAAAAGGAAATGGCAGACCACTCCGGTATCTCTGCCAAGAAAACCCCAAATGGGGTCACGAAGAGTCGGACATGACTGAAACAAATGAACACACACACGTTTAAGGCCTCTTGTAGGAAGGGGCTCTTGAGCCGAGGCTCCAGGGATCCAGCAGTTGCGAAGTACGCAGCTGAGAAGGGCGAGCTCTCATTCATTACAGGGATGGGGGCAGCCCAAGCAAATGTTCTAAAGGCGGAAGTCATAATGTCATTCCCTAACCCTGAACGTCCTGTGCAACACTGGGGTAGGGTAAATTCTGCTTAAGTGAAGCGAGGGGTTTTGTTTTTAATCTACTTTTAATCTACACCAAATACGAAAGGGAGACTGAGAGACACATTAACGTAAGAAGGAAGCAGCCGCGGTGACCAGGAAGCCCGGTCCAACCATACGTGAGCGGAGCTCCCTGCGCAGGGCTTGCCCAACGGGAATCGAGAACTTTGATTGGACGCCGCCCAACCCGCTATAAAAAGCCCTCTGCTATTGGTTACAAGGAAAGCTAGTGCGGGTGATGAGAGCACGAGCGGGATTGGCAAGCCGGCCGCAGTTCCGCCCCTTCCCCTTCCGGTTCGTGACCTTCCTGAGCCGCTCGACTTCTCCCTCGTTGCGTCCGTCGCCCGCCTTCTCCGCAGCCATGGTGGCCTATTGGAGACAGGCTGGACTCAGGTAGGTCTGGGGGTGGTTTGGGCGACTGGCTTGAGGCTCTGCAAGATGGCTCCAGAGCCGGGTCTCTTCAGATTTCTTCGGCTGGCCTGGGCGGCCGGGGCCTTGCCTGAGAGACCGCCGAGCCGTGACCGGCGCCGGGGCCTGGGCCCCGGCAGCCTGTGGCCGCCTTCCCCCGCAGCTCCCCGCCCTGCCCTCCTCTGTCCACTCTTGTCCTCCTGAGCCCCTGCCAGAAGTCACACCACCCGGGACAGCGTCCGCTGCGGCTTCGTGATTCAGTTCAGTCCGATAAATATTAAGTACTCATTGGATTGAATTTGTGACCTCAGCCGGGTCACTCTCTCAGTGCTGCAAGCACGTTCCATGATCGACTTAAAAAAACAAAAAACCTCAAACTGACTTCCACCTATTTCTCTGACTTTTTAGGAACAATAGTAAGCATTTTAGACCTGTAAAGCACCTTGCAAATATTTCACCTTATCCTCACAACTTTGAAAGGTAGCTGCTATTATTATCCCCATTTTACAGATAAAGAACTATGGTTGAGAGGTTAAATGACCCGCCCAAGGTTACATAGCTAATATCTGAGTTCCGATTTGCGCCTGGGCCTTCTTGAAATACAGGTCCAGAGTGCTAGCTACTGCACCACTTAGCTGCTTCACTTTGCCACTTGTCTCTTAAAATGACCCTTTCTCAATCCTTGGTGTTCTGGACCCTTGCTCCTATTGATCATTATCTTCTCCAAGTCTTGTCTGTTTACCTTTACTTCACCTCTGACGCTGCTACCACCCTCATGCCTGGACTGTTGCAATATCCTGCTGGTTAGGCTCCCTGCCTCCGGTCTTTTCCCCCCCTCCATCCATCCTTTATTCAGCCACCAAAGTGATTTTCCTAAAGGTCTGACTGCAATCGTCCACTCAGTAAACATAAAGTGGCTCCCTATCATCTCCAGAATCAAATACAAAATACTCTCTTTGGCACGAAAAAGCTCCTTAGGGCTAACTCCTACCATTCTAGTCTTCTTGTACCTTACTTTGCCCTTCTCCCATATACTCTGCATTCCAGTCATACAGGCCGCCTTGCTGTTCTTGTACAAGACACTCCATTGGTATTTTCATTGACTGTCCCCCATGCCTGAAATTCTCTCCCACCTCATCCCTTCCTCCTGGCTTCCTTCATATCTCAGCTAATATCCTGCCTTCTGCAGGAAGCTTTTAATGTCCCCCTTTAATGCTAGTGCCTTCCCTCTGTCGATTATTTCTAATTTATTGTGTATGTATCTTGTTTGTACTGCTTTTTTGCATGTTGTGTCCCCCATTAGACTGAGCTCCCTGAGAGCAGAGACTGTCCTTTGCCTTTCTTTGTATCCCCAGCTCTCAGCACAGTGCCTGGCACATAGTGTTTTCTAACTTGACATTACTCCCCTGGACCCTGGTCCAGCAGAACTAACCACTTTGCTGTGCTTCATACCTGATTTTCTGTTGCCTATCTTAAGCCTTTGCCAGGACTACCATTTATGTTTGAAATCAGTCAACAAGCTATTGTTGTTGACAACAACAGTCAACCAACCATTGTGCTAGGCATAGGAGATGCCCAGACAAAAAGGAAAAAAAGTCAGTGCCCTCCTGGAGTTTACAGTGCTGGCCTTTACTTTGGCCTTGTAAATTGCCTAGTTTCCTTTAAAACTCAGTTCAACACCACCTTGTACTTGAACCTTTCCCGATTCCTTCCAAATAGTAGTTCCCCATCTTCTTCCCCCCCCCCAAAAAAAAAAATTTCTTCTATGTATTTTATGTATGTTTATATTCAGATATATTGTGTGGATAGTGAAGATGGTGGTACCCTAGATGAAACCTGGGAATTTTGGAGAGGAGGTGATGAGATAACAGAAAAATATTCGGTTCTTATTTGACCATGTTCAGTTTGAGAACCCTAGAGTGCACATGGGAGGACATGCCCAACAAGCAGTTGAGTTTGAGAGATTTGGGCTAGATATTTAAATGTGAAATATATCTGCATATTGATAATGGAATCTATGAGCATAAGTGAGCTTATCCTTTGATTTTGTATATATGTACATGTTGACTCCCCTGACAGAATGTATTCTTTGAGAGTTTCATATCTGTCTTTGTATCTCCCGGGCATAGCCCAATGTGTCTGATATATAGTAGGACCTTAATAAAAACATGTTTGTTTTTTGTTTTTTTCTTCGATTCCTCCCACCCCCAAAACCAGTTTTCCTAAACCTTTCTTCAACTCTCAACATTATTCTTTATTCCTCTCTTTTCAACTAGGTGACCCCTTCTTACTCTC